AATGGCCATAAATCAGCGATTCTAACTTGAAAGCAGTGAAGAAATATAAGCGGGTTGTGAAGCAAACGGTAGAAAAAGAGAAGAGAACAGGTCAAAGTTAAAGACTTGAATAGACTTACACGAGTTGAAATTAAACAGTGAGTCCGACCCCGAAATAAACAATCTTCAAAAGATTTTAACAAAGAACGCCGAAGACGAGAGCAGAAGTAGAATGATTCCACAATATTAAGCACTTCAATCGCCACTTCCTCCTCCTCCTCCTCCTCCTCCTCCTTCTTCTTCCTCTTCTTTTATCCTGCTGCTCCAAAACACAAATTCAGAAAGAATAACGTGAGCTGCAGAGTCTAGGGCTGGTCTGGCCTTGGATCAAAATATCATCATCGCCTGTGGTTATTATATTTTATTTTGATGTATGTATCCTGAGAATGTGCCCTGTTCTTCGCTGTATCGAGAGAGAGAGAGAGAGAGAGAGAGAGAGAAGAGTTTGGAGAGAGAAGGGAGTGATGTGTCCTTGCGGACGTCAAAATTGTATTCGATCCGATTGAATTTTCTTCATTCTCTCCTTTACCTTTTCTTTTCCTCTCTCTTCTCTCCTTGAACTGAAGTCAAATGCTATATTCTCTCTCTCCTCTTCTGCACATACTGCTCGTTATTTGTATGTCATGTATGTCGTTATTATGTTATGCGTGATCATCATCATCATCATGCATGATGGTTCGTGTCACAGAAATGACCCTTGATTGAGTTTTTTTAACCACATTGCCCCCCAACTCGAGTCCACCTGCTCTCGCGTCTGGAGCTCCTTGGGTGTACCCACTCGTACCGTATTATGGAATACAACACAATCATTTGCTGCCCCTCGCTCTTCCCCCATGCATGATATCAAAACAAATCTTTATTCAAATAAAATTAATTTCCTACTAATGCATTTTACATTTTAACCACCCCCGTAATAATTTCCATAAAGATATTTTTAAATTTTTTATTTCTAAATATGTATGTACTTATTTACACAATCATATAAATAATTAACAATTAAAATAATTTATATTATAGAAAAACTATTTTATTTATATATTAATTATTTCGTAAATATATAATTCTTACGTACTTTCGTTAATTAACAATACGTAATATTCACAAATATAAAAATAAAATATAAAATATATTTTTCATTAGTACGAGAGTCTAAATTCTTTGTATTTACGACATCAGACATTCTCGAAAAATATTGTTTGAAAATACTCATTTTTTTTAAAAGTGAAATTTACAAAATAATAATAACAATAATTATTATGATAAGTGTATTATAAAAAATCATAAACAGTAAGGTAGGAAGAAATAGTCGCTATAACTATTTATTTTTTTAAGAGAACAATTTCATATTCCTTGAATAAGGTTATTTATATTTTATTTACTTAATTAAAATTATTTTTTATCACAATCTATATCTAACAACGCGGAACTTTATGAGATATTGAAGTTGATCTTAAAACTATTAATAATAATTTATCACTTAAATATAATGATTCAATTTATTAAATACCTCGTACTAATATAAGTATGAAGCATATCAAAATCCATATGACGTGTGTGTGTGTGTGTTTCAACTTTCATATCAAAAAGCCATATAGTGCGTGCGTGTGTATTTTTTAACTTTATTTTTCAAAATTCATTTATCAACTATACAATGGTTATTGGTTTTCACAATGACCGGACTATAGTTATTAGATAATTATTTTGTTTATCATGATTAATAAACTTATAACAATCACTCAAATTAATGTTATATTTAATAACTAATCTAACAACGGAACACACAAGTAATTTTTGTCTATTAACATTGAAGCATAACTTTATTTTTGCAAATAATCAATAGTAGAAATAAGTCGAAAAAATAATTCTTTATAGTTATTATGTACTATTGTTTGATACGTAGTAAAAACTTCAATCACTAATATTATCATTATGTTTTTCTAGTAAACATATTCATACAATAAAAACCTACATGAACATTGTAGTGTCATCCATGTTGAGGTTTAATGAAAAATAAGATATTGTAGAGAAGTAAGATATTATTTGCTGGTGTATACGAATTTAATGGTATTTATATTATATGATTATATTTTTCGTAAACTTTGCATACTTTAACTATTTTGATTATTTAAGTGAAAACACAGTAATAATAAAAGATAAAAAATTGTGTTGTTATTATTGAAAATGATAATCATATTATATTCGAAATAAGATAACTATAATAGTCTCTCATGTGTTATATGTAATGGCTTACCTTGCATAGTTATTTATATAGTTAATTCAAGATTATTATCGACTAGAACATTCATTTATTTTTTTGAGTTTGATATGTATTTATCTTGTGAAAATCTCAAATGGTTGTTTAGATGAAAACAAAGAACCATGATAAGGTTATAGCAAAGATGGCTTGAAACCCTAGTTTTGTTCAGAATGAAACTCCATTGTTTTTTATTTTTCAGCATACAAAATTTGTATAGGGATTGTTGAATATCATATTTAGTAATGTCATGAAATTTTAAATTTCTTTTAATAAGAGAAAAATGAGATGAAGAAAATATGACCATGTTAAGTAACTGGATAAGGAAATTTGCTACTTGATGTTCGACAAGGTCATGAAATTTTAAATTTCTTTTAATAAGAGAAAAAGGAGATGAGGAAAATATGACCATGTTAAGTAACTGGATAAGGAAATTTGCTACTTGATGTTCGACAAGGACAAATTTTAGTTCAACATCACCATTTTGCATATGAATCACAACGTCGAAGAAAACACATTAGTGACAATCACAATAATATCAAATCTTTTGTCTTCCTCGAGCTAAATGCCACCAAACAAAGTACGACTAAAAAGAAGAAAAATAAAACTCTTTTCACCTTCGATTTTTTTCTCAACCTTTTCTCTCTTTCTATTTCGGCACAAAGAGACCCGAATTGCCCTTGGAACACTTCCGACGCTCACGTTCTGTGGCGTCCTTGAGCATAAAGTCGTCCCCTATCCTCATGCTCATTCGACTCCCATGACCTTGGTCTTTGAAGCCCTAGCCGCAAGCCACATGATTCCTGAAGTTTTTCCTTTTTGTGCTTACATAACCATGACCCTTTCTTTGTGTTGCAAGTGAAGAAGAAATAATGGGAGAGAGCTCGTCCTCAAGCTGGGAACCCTTAGAAAAAACAACATCGTTTTAAAGGGCCCAGCTTAAGGGTGGGCCCATGCCGATGAAAATAAATACGTCAAAATGATTGATTCCACAATGTTATTATTTTTAAATTTTAAATTAATAAATTAGAGAATTCAATATTATATTTTTCTAAAATAGTTAAATGATTATAAAAAATTATTTTAAATTTCAAAACTACAAGTAGATTTATAATTAAATTAATAGAATCAAAATACATATGAGATTTAAAATATCACTGATGATATGATAAAAGGATCTTTTACTATATGAAAAAATTAATTCATAAAAAAGATTAATTATGAGGATGTCTGTAACACCCCAAGTGTTATTATTTTTTTATTTTATTTTGTAATTATTTGAATTTTTTGATTTTTAATTAATTTAATTTGATTTAATTTAATATAATTTAATGAAAATAAAAATAATAATAATGATAAAATTGGGTAAAAATATTATTTGGATTTAATTGAAATTGATTTTGGAAAAAAGGGGTGAAAATTTGGATTCTGGGGGTGTTTTTGAAAAGAAAATCAGAAACCGGGGGTCAAAACGCAATTTAAAAAAGTTGTGTCACGTCAGCACCCA